TTTTATAACTAAAACTGACGATAAAACTTAACCAAAATCGATATTATGTTTCGTTAAATTATATGCACACATTTCTTGAAGAATTGGCTTGGTCTTGGAATTTTTTTTATGCCGTTTGATATACAGAACAGTGATATCTGAGGGTTCGCCAGGTGCGCGTTAGTCGCTATGGTGATTGTGATTTTGGTAATTATAAATTTTTTTAATTAAAAATTTAAAATCCCAATATTTCCCATGAATAGAGAAAATCAAAATATTTGTTATGAATGTCAATTTTGTATTTCAATTTGCGTAATTATGTATTCCTACACAGTGATTCGGTCGCTTGCTTCAGGGAATGCAAATCATATTTTCACCCTCTGACATTTGGTCATGTGACCCAAATTAGCCAATCACAACACAGAACACACTTTCTATAGGTTTACAATTATCATTAAACTGCCCGCCTGTTATCTGAATGAGCGGGCCACTGTAACTTGATAATGCCCTCATATTGCTTGACGACGGGCTATTATCACGCCCGTTGTTAGATGACGTCATAGGGATAGGGATGGGTGACGTCACGTTCAATAGTGACGTCATCAGGTTTGTTCTATGAGTTATTGGAAGATGTCGGCCTTCTGCAACTGATAATGCCCTGAAAATGGCGTTACCCTTTTAATAGTTCATATCTCATGATTTTAGATACTGAATTATGTTATCTTACTCAAAAGAAGTTAAAGGACCTCATAATGTTTCATGACTAAAGTCATCATTTTAGAAATTGATATAGATCGGTTGTTCTTTCACTTCTTTTGATAGGTATATATATAATGTTTATGTCTATTCAGTATCTAAAAATTCAAAGGTAGTCAATCTGGCATAAAACTGGGATCCCACTGTTTGTGTCTGTCTGATGTGAGGAGGTCTGCTTGGGGTACATTGCTATTTTATGTGCGTGATTTATGAATATTTAATGACAACTGTTTGGAAGATGGGTGTTTGATGAGGGCACTATTTCGTCCACTGGAAAAGTCAAACTTTACAATTACGATAATCAATGAAATGTTGGTATGAGATTTGTCAGGCGTATTGAAATGGGTGGTGTCCTTTTTTGTACACTTGAAAGTTTTGGACATCATCAAGAGCACAAATATTGCTATACCTTTCAAGAAAATCAGTTTATTTAAAGATTTTCTCATATCCCAAAAAATTCAGCTTTTTGACAAATTATGTACCTTACATGTACCTATGCATTTTGTGGTGAAAGTACCAAATTGTAATTGGAATGAACAAAGTTTATTTATCATTCATACCAATACATGCGATAACATTCATAAAGATATATATATGCAAGTTTTGTAAATACCTGTAAATTTCCCATTTGCTACCTGTAATCTGCAAGCAAACTATCGATAATTAATTATCTGGACACCCGTGAAACGCCGTCATATAGTTAACTTAATTATTCACACACTTACCGACTCTAAAGAGAACAAAACTGATGTAGAGTTTGGTATATTTGTTTTCTTTTTAGGACGATGTATTTTGGACGGCGTGTTCAAGCTTCCCAAAATGCTGTTCAAACAAGCACTTAACTCAACTCACTATCAATCCTTGTCACGGGCTTTATTACCCATACACAATGAACCGTAATATATACCACCGCCATCAAATGACATTTCACAATACTTCTTAATAATCTAATGACATTTCACAATACTTCTTAATAATCAAATGACATTTCACAATACTTCTTAATAATCAAATGACATTTCACAATACTTCTCAATTATCAAATGACAATTCAGAATACTTCTTAATAATCAAATGACATTTCACAATACTTCTTAATAATCAAATGACATTTCACAATACTTCTTAATAATCAAATGACATTTCACAATGCTTCTTAATACAGTGTGTCACATTCTTTGCCTCACATCAAAGTGGTTTCCTTCTATGTGTTCTGATCGACGTGGTTTATTTTCATGGTAATTATATAATGTATTTCGTTATGAAAAAGACATATACCAAGCAACAAGTGTTATTTTGATATTGCAAGATCGTCAAGCTTTGAGTCCCTTGACCTTAACTCTTGCAGACATCACGTGGTCACGAGAACAATACAAATACCGCATCAAGATCTCGTGACTATATTGACCCAGCTGAACCTCTATTCAGCCGCACTCAGCATCAGACGAAATACCAGCGGGCCTTGATTGTATAAAGCAGCTGGCGCTGAATTTATACAATCATTGTATATTAACAATTTAATTTTGAATTTGAATTTAAGTTTGCCTTTTTCTACACGGATGGTTACATGCTTACCCTTTTCGCGAACACCTGGTGTCATCACTGATTTTCAGTGTTCTATTCATATGAATTTCACCCCCATGTTGCCTATAACGTCTAATGGAATATGTTTCGTCGAATAGTCGAGACCGTTTATTCTCTATCGTTGACTTTTTGTTTATTCTCTATCGTAGACGGTTTTTGTTTACAGTAAACATTCTGTTGTGTGATACGTATTATTGGTTCTGTCGCCATTCCTCTCTCAAAGAGTTTAGTGGTAGAGCGTCCGCCCGGAGAGCGGAAGTTGCCGGGTTCGATCCCCGGCCGCGTCATACCAAAAGACGTTAAAAGATGGTTCGGGATCAGTATACTGTGTCTGAGTGGGGTATTCATGTTAAACTACTGCGGCATGGTATCTCAGTGTGCTAGCACTATAAATCGGCATCAGTCCGGACTAGTACAAGCAGCCACACAAACACACTCGTACATGCACGTCGCTATATGAGTGCAATAATCTTGGACGCGACGTTATACCCAATTTCACCTCACCTCACCTCTCTCAAAGGGCCGCGATATAACCGGAATACTGTTAAAAGCGGCGTTAAACCCAACTCACTCACTCGCCACTCTCTCAAAGGTAGGGCCGAACGATTTGTTTTGAAGCCACAACACATGTTTTATTCAGTTTTGAGACATTGGCGTTTTATATTTTGTTTTAGTTATGAATATTTATTTTGTCGTTCAGACTGACATAAACAAAGGCGTTGACGATCCTCATAAACTGGTATGGATGTCATGGACATTTTAAATATAACTTATGGTTGATAACAAATATGAAATAGCGGCCCTTGTCTATTTCAGTGTTCGATATTGATATCACAGATGTTTATCGACTACAAAGTCCTGCAATGGCTTACTGTATGTTGCTTTGACCTAGTTTTGCATTGATTCGGTTGGGGGCACATTCGAGTGTGTATGCAACTGTCACTGAATGTGTTGTGAGCAATCATGCATGTATGTGGGTATTTCTGTTTTCAAATTCCAAGTCCATCTTCGTGCACAGTCATGCTTTGGTGGCAGAATGTGTTAATTCAGCTCAGACGTGTGAGGTTAATCTAACTAACCCATTTTTAGTGCGCATGTATTTGAAAACTTTTAAGATAAACATTTTAGCAACACACGCAAGCGTTATCGGGATTGCATCTGCTTTGTCTGGTGTACATTCTTAGTTACGAGAGATCGACACAGCAAAGATATAAAAGTTAGGGGACCGTTTAAATTCCAGTGGCTGAGTGCGCTTTCTTTGGTTAATAAAAACAACTCAACCCCATCTTAAAAAAATTGTTCGCCGATAGGCTGGATGTCCTGATAAAATGTTCTCGCAGCAGTGACACACGACCCCAGGCCCCCCTCCCCCCGACACACACACACACACACACACACACACACAGAGAGAGAGAGAGAGAGCACACATTCACACACACACACAGAGAGAGAGAGAGCACACATTCACACACACACACACACAGAGAGAGCACACATTCACACACACACAGAGAGAGAGAGAGAGAGCACACATTCACACACACACACACACACAGAGCACATACATACACACACAGAGCACACACACACACAGCACACACACACACACACACAGAGCACACACACACACACAGCACACATACACACACACAGCACACATACATACACAGCACACACACACAGCACACATACAGCACACATACACACACACAGACACACACACACAGCACACACACACACACACAACACACAATTACATGATGTATAATTAATGGCTGATATGTAGCCAGAAGGTGGTAGGTTTTGGTGCACCTGTTTTGAGTTTTGAGTTTTTATACATGTCCCAAACACCTCGGAGCGGTTTGTTGGTTGGTTTGTTGTTTAACGCCGCACTCAGCAATATTCCAGCTACATGACAGCGGTCTGTAAATAATCGAGTCTGGACCAGACAATCCAGTAATTGATATCATGAGCATCGATCCACGCAATTGGGATTAGATGACATGCTTCAGCCAATTCAGCGAACCTGAACACCCGATCCCGTCAGTCGCCTCTTACGACAAGAATAGTCGCCTTTTACGGCAAGCATGGGTTGCTGAAGACCTATTCTACCCCGGATCTTCACGGGTCCCTCGGAGCGGGATACGGTTTACACAGTTGACGATCCAGACTCGATATGATGCACAGGGTGCTCAGGCCGCTGTGACACAGCTACACAGTCTCACAGACCCAGGCGAATAAATTACGAATATATCCAACTCAAGTCTAGAATGGTTTGGCAAGTCTAGATTGGCCGAGAAATTAAGCATCGGTCTGGGTTTCATATGATTTGATTTTATATTTTGTAGATATATATTTATAAATCATAATTTATTTCTAGTAATTAATGTTAGTCCTAGCTACATATTTCTGATTAAATTATACTCTACTACAGTCTGGCTTAATGTTGGAGGGACGAACTCAACGAGGTATACAATAGGTATTGCTGGACAGATAAATTTCAACAATATCTGGAAATGATAAAACACTAGCCAAAATCATCACAGTAATGTTTCCAAACTGACACGCTCTATTTTGAAATGAGAGTGCTTAAACTCGACCAGGGCCGTATCGTATTCATCACAGGCCGTGATAAGGCATATTACCACAAGGCCATCCAGCATTGGTCAGGGTGTACTTACCCGCCGTATCCCACATCTGCAATCGGATCTGCTTGTCTTGGTAGATAATGTTTTTCTGCTTGAATCCTTGGGTATCAAATGATGTCTTTACACGTGTAAATCTACCTTCCATGAACGTGTGAAGAAATGTGGTTTTGCCGACACCTAAATCCCCAATCAACACCGCCTTCACTGTGTATTCCTTGTCGGTATAGCTGTTGGTCGCCATGTTGAAATTGACGACACTGACGGGTCTAATCATGTGATGACTGTGTCACATGTCGGGGCTTCACTGCCGAGTGGGAGTACCCCAAATATATAGCTATTTTGTTCCGCAGATAAAGGGAGACCTTGTACTGAGCCAGTAGCCTCACATGTGGGCCATACAGATACGGAGAGAGCGTCAGCGTTATCTGAAGACATATGAGGAAACAGCATTTGCCTTTGCATGTGTTTGTTAATGTAGCCACTGGCGGGGCAGGATCCGCTCACCTCACGTTAACATCAGGAACATCACTATTTGATGGTTCATAAACAATTGCTTTTGATATAGTCGGAATCGTACAATGGTAACCTCTTTTTGTAGACATTTGTTATTATTATGGAAACTTTTTTGTCCCGTTTATTTGTCATTAACATACAGTGAGACATCGTTTACACGGACGATCATCGGAGTCATGTCAAGCGGGTATTTGTTCAAGGACGAAGTTAACCCTTGTTACGTCGGACTTGTTTATCTCGGTGGAATCCGTTTTCTACTTGAATTGGTATCATGCTATCGTTACATGTGTACATTTTACTTCGCATGAACGTGTGAAGAAGTGCTGTTTCGTCTGCCTAAATACCATATCATAGATCGATTATCCGTTCTTCGAAACAAGCGGAGCACGGATTTGGCCATTGTTCTGATTTGTTTTGATGTTGTTTTTTGTTGTTTAACGTCTCACTCAGCAATATACCAGCTACATGCATCTTCCCGAGGCAAGTGAGTTAACTGACTATAAAAGTCCAGTTTCCACCCTTGCCGAACTAGGCTGGTATTATGGAGTTACATTTTGGCTGGGCTAACGAGTCTATGCATAGTCCAATCAAAATCGCGCACCAAAATCGAAATCCGGTTCGTAAAGTGTCATGCAGATTTCGGTCGACTGCAGGATTTGCAAAGCATGTGCACCGCTAACTCGTTGTCAACAGATATTTTCTAAATCTTTTCCTGTTTTTAACGAAGGTGCTCACGTGATTTGATGCACTTCGCGATGTAAGACTCGTTTTATCACAATATAGATCTTGATTATCGATCAGATCGTCTTGACTGGGCGCCACCGTTTTGTTTGAAGCAAATGCAAGTGATTCGAGAGGTTGAATCTGATTACTCAATAGGAGAGGCATAGAAAGGACATAACTCGTAATAGCCACTGGTGGCTCTACGATCAAGCCCAGGAATTCCAGCCTAGTTCGGCAAGGGTGATTACTGGACTTTTCAGTTAACTCTCTTGCCTCGGGAAGATGAGCTATATGTGGCATCCAGTGATTGGCATCATGAGCATCGATCCACGCAATTAGGATACATGCATCAACCATTTCAGCGGGCCTGACCACCCGATCCCATTAGTCACCTCTTACATATAGAATACTAAACGAGCTCCCGTGTAATACCAATTTTATGAAACGAGTGAATAGTTCTGGTATCTGACGAGCGAAAGCTATTCACGAGTTTCATAAAATTGGTTTTACACGAGAGCGAGTTTAGTATTTTATTTATTACTTGTCATTTATAATGTTTTTAGAATTATACTGTTGAGTGTAAATAGGTTGACACCTACACGATCCATGGCATAATCAAATTGAGTTGAACAGAATAATACTTCAAACACGTCAAAAGTTGAAACGTATGAATTTAATATCATACAATGGTCCAGCTTTAGAATTCAGGCGTTCGTCCCACAAAATTATCGTAGTGCTAAGGCTATCACAACTCACATAATTAAACTTAGACTTACGACTGTCGTTGCGCTAGAGTACGATCGCCTTGTGGAACGGGGCCTTGCACCTCAAAGTTTACAATCACGTCACAATACCCGATGACGTAATTTGTTGAATTTTGTTGCAAGATCCATCGGCGAAACAATGCTATGTGACGTCAGCCTAGCAACAAGGTTGCTGGGGTCATCGAGTGTGCATAAGCTCCTCCCAGTGATCTATCATCTCCACACACAATGTCGTTGAATAAGCCAAGGGATGTTGAGAGCTTTCAATATTTGTTCGTGAAACGTGTTCCGAGAGTACACAAGCACGCGTTTTGGTATTACACAATGTGTAATAAAGCTGTATGTTTATTAAACGGGTGATCTCTTCACGGGCAAGTAATAAAGTTATTTACGGCAAGCATGGGTTGCTGAAGACCTATTCTACTCCGGATCTTCACGGGTCCATTGTGTTGAAAAGGGGTATATCTGGTCCATAGTATTAAACGATATTTCGAGTTACGGATTTCGACTAAACGAGGTTTCGCTGGTATGCATCATCCTATTGAAATAATGATAATAATAAGAAGAAGAAGGATGCTGCTGGTGAGGATGATGATAATAGTGATGGTGGAGATGATATTGCCCCTGTTAGGATTCATTTCCTATTGATTATATGATTTGTTCGTATGTTTTTTGTTTAACGCCGCACTCAGCAATATGCCAGCTATATAACGGCGGTCTGTAAATAATCGTGTCTTTTACGACAAGCATAGTCGCCTTTTACGGCAAACATGGGTTGCTGAAGAGCTATTCTACCCCGGATCTTCACAAACAAACACAACTTATCCCGCGTGGATCCCGCTTAAGAATATAGGCCCCTAGATATCTATATACTTGTCGTAAAAACAACTGCATGTGTAAATGTAAGAGATCAGGTTCTATGGCTTGGTTGATTGCATATCATTGTATCCCACTTGCGTGAATCGAATTTCATGGTGCCAATCACTGGATTGGCTTATCCAGACTGGCAGGCTTATAGCTTTGTTTGTTTGTTTGTTTGTTGTTTAACGCTGCACTCAGCAATATTCCAGCTACAAGCAAAGTCGCCTTTTACGGCAGAATTGGTTGCTGAAAACCTATTCTACCCCGGACCTTCACGGGTCCGGCATATAACAGGGATATTGCATGGCGAGAGTAGCGTTGAACAAGAAACAGTGGGACAAAGAAACCTATCTTTAACGAAGACAGCTTCTTTCGCTTTTGAGTGTTGCTTGATTGGAATGCCATTTTCAGCCTTGTGCCATCGAACGAGGCCTACAAAAAAGCTATGGTAGCGAGTGGGTATGTATGGAGGTACATGCATAATACACTGTGTGATCGATGATGAAAGCCAAAGGGCTCTTTCCACATGTTTCAAATTGCCAGTTTGCCGAAGCCTTGCATCTCAGTAGGGTGTTCCCCACGATTACGTTACAACGCTTCACCTGGCGAGATCATAACCACAAGGTTAGATCACGGCATGCTTGTTGAGTGTACTTAAACTTCCGTCGGCAATTAAAACATCTGATGTCTGTCGCGAGGCTTACTCTGTGGTTATCTTATGGTGACCTGACAGTGTTATAGGTTTGTTCATACTTTGGTCTGTCAGCTGTGGTAATAATAAGTAGGGTTTGTCATAAAAGTTACCGGTCATGCAACAAAGCCTTTTAACGGCACTAACATGGCGCGGAGATCCATGGGCGTCTATGATTTAGAATTCGGTTGTTTGTTTTGTGCTCTCCCTTCTAGCTGTATACATGCACGGCGGTCTGTAAATATTCGATACCGGACCAGAAAACCAGAGTTTGATGTTATGAGCAACGCCCTACGCCGTCTATTTCGAGGGCACACAATCAACTAAGTCAACGCACCTGACGATATAATCCATTTAATCGCCTGTACCTAGGGACATTTCTTAACCCTGAGTTCCCCAAGGGCAAAATGTCAAAAAACACCTGTCCGGAAATTGTTTTTTGTTGTTTCTTTTATGGTAGAGCGTCCGCCCGGAGAGCGGAAGGTCCGGGGTTCGATCCCCGGCCGCGACATACTAAAAGACGTTAAAAGATGGTACTTGTTGTTACAAGTCAATATACTGTGTGTGAGTGGGGTATTCCTGTTAAACTGCGGCATGTTATCTCAGTGTGCTAGCACTATTAATCGGCAATAGTCAGGACTAGTACAAGCAGCCACACGCGCACGCTCGCACACACACACACACACACACACACACACACACACACACACACACACACACACACATGTATGCACGTCGCTATATAAGTGCAATAATCTTGGACGCGAAGTTAAATCCCATTTCACCTCACCTACAATTGATCTGCTTTTGGCAATTATAAATCAATTTATTGGTTTACTTGTGGCAGAAATAGATCAAGATTATTATTCACAGGCAGAATGGATACAGTTTTATGTTATTGTACGCCTGTAATTTATCAAGTCTGGACCAGACAATCCAGTGATTGATAATATAAGTAACGATTCACGTACGCAATCAACCAAGTCACCGAGCCCGACCATCCGATTCATTTGGTCGCCTCTTACGATCAGCATAAGTTGATGGTACGCTATTCTAACCCGGAATCCGACCCGTGAAGATCCGGGTTAGAATAGGTCTTCAGCAACCCATGCTTGCCGTAACAGTCGACTATGCATGTCGGGATCGGGTGGTCAGGCTCGCTGACTTGGTTGATGCATGTCATCGTGTCCTAATTGCGTAGATCGATGCTCATGATATCAATCACTGGATTGTCTTGTTCAGACTCGATTAATTACAGACCGGAGTCATATAGCTGAAATATTTCTGAGTGCGGCGTGAAACAAAAAAACAAACAAACAAACAAATCTTATCCCGAATCCCAACGTTGTTGAGCCAGTTTGATACATTTATAATTTAATCTGAAACTGCAGATTCTAGCGCGTGGTATTTCCCGGTTCCCTGGTAGAATAGATCCCCAGTACCCAAACTTGTCGGAAGAGGGACCGAATATGACGATCGAGTGCTTACAAGGTGTGACCTGTTACAAGTTGACTGTGTACACGTGGCGGTTGCGGATTCCTCAGCAGCCCCTTCTGGTTGGTCAAATTTGAGCCACCGCCATTTTTAATGTCTCCCCGTGAAGGTCCGGGTTGGAAGCAATCATTAAAATCAGATCAAGGTTCTCGCTGCCGCTAAACAAAGATCTGAGGACATCCTATTACGGGTCACGTCAGAACGACCTTTCGCGAACTTTGACCGACTACTGAAATGACTAACAAGAAGTCGATATCACGGCACTCGTTTCAA